CTTATAAAATAAATTCGATCTTAAACCTGCAACCTATGAACTTTAGCTATCAAATAAACGATAGAACTAATTATATCCTTTATGGACTATGCCATACTCGTCTAAGAATGTGACATTTAGCTCACAACCATTTTCATAACACAAGGACAGTTATTGGCTATTAATCAAAATCGACCTAGAGAGCATTAGCAATAGAGCCTAGCTCGATAAAAATTTAAAACTGTTAGTTATGCAACTTATAATAACATCATAATTACGTTACTGAATATGTTTAATGAATTGCAGTTCAACTAGTTGAATAATTGTAATTTTATTGCTACAAACAAAAAATAATTTGTTTTATTTCAAATTGATTTATTATTCATTTTGTTGACATAGTGTTAGTTACAAAAGTATGAATTAAACTATTTAAAGTTTACGCTTGTCAAATATGTGATCTTGATTATGATTTATTATTTTATAGTTCAATCAACGGCAAATTGGTTGTGTCAATTAATTTCAAATTTGATTAAAAAGGTGATGAATTTAGATTGGTGCAATATAATTTATAATTTAATTTAATATAAATATTACAATGGTATTATTGGTGTTTGTATAGTGATGATTCTATGAATCAGTTTTGGTATTTTAACTAATTTACCTCGTTATGTTTAACATAAACGTCACAATGTATATATCGTCACCAACATCACATAAATGTCAAGGACTCCGTTTTCTAGAACATTCGATATGAGTATGATTGGAATTCACAATTTAGGCATTATAGCAAAACTAAATTGCCGAAAATATTGAAGGTAAACCACTGAATTATAATATTTTCTCAATTAATTTTAAGTACTTGTATTAATTTTATGGTAAAAACTAGATATTTGTGTTTTCCTTCAGTGTGGACAAATCACTAGATATTCTTCAGGGTTCCGTTTGCAGAAATTAAATCTGATTCGTTTGTTGATTCTTCGTATAGGTAGTAGTTCTTACCTACTTGAAAAATATGCACCTTGAGCTGATCTAACTAAAAATATGTTTGCAAAATATCAATTAGGTAGGTATTATAATGGATTAGAAATGATTTTCATGATATAAATTAGAAAATCACAAAAAAATTGAATTCAGGCTTAAACTTTTTTAATTTTATTATTTCTATAATTTTGAAACCTACGGATCCAGTAATCGCATTTTTAATTCGCCACATTTAATTTTATTAATCTTCTAATGGAAATGTAAATAAACGAAGAAGACATTAAAACATTATCTACAAAAAATAAGCTAAACTGTTAAATGTCATCGAGTTTTTTCTATAAAACTGCGTGACACATGGAAATTCTTGTTCGCTCCTTTTTTGAAAGATAATAAACAAAACTTAAAAACTCGTTCACCTTTATTTAGAATTACGCCATCTGTCGGTGAAGTCCTTAAAACTATTTATCCAGTTCTAATTTTAAACGCTGTTGATGCTATCATCTATATCTATACTAATATTATAAAGAGGAAAGATTTGTACCTATTTTTGTATGTTTGTAATGAATAGGCTCAAAAAGTACTGGGCCGATTTAAAAAATTCTTTCACTCGCCCGAAACTGCGTCCCAAAACCTCGTCCGAATCCGCGCCCGAGACCGCGTCAGAAACCGCGTCCGAAACCGCGTCCGAAACCGCGACTGAAACCGTGCCCGAAACCATCCACAATGACAATATATGCATAAAACTCAAATGATTTTTTTCGAAAACATGAATCTCACTACTAAATACAATACAAATACAAGCGTTGTTTCACGCCTGTATATAGCTCTCCTAAGTTCCAATTTCAAAATGACAGCACACAAAATACCCGACACTGGGCTGGGGTGGGGACGGGTATTAGGTGAATAAATAGGTATGGCTGTCACCACCAACTTGATAACCGACTTATTATTCCTTATTACAAGTGAATATGGTTCAAATTGTGTATGTAGTTGTTAAGTGAAATATTTAAGCTTATGAGTCAGAGACAGAGTACTCAAAATGACAGTGATATGCTACTAGTGACCTTAGCACCTGATCGGTTGAATGCACGAAGTAGTTAACATTGTCATAACTACATAACATATGTATGTATGTACCTATTATTCTATTACTATTAGATAACATCATGCCTTTTGTTTTTTTTTTGGCATGAGACATACGGATATAAGTGGACAGTATCTTTTGTATAGTTAATAACTGTATGTATCACAAATCTAATAAAGAAAGTACGTGTAACTTGCATCTTCTTGGTCGTAGGGTATTCTAGGTCTTTAGTAGACAATTAAGCCTAACTAACTTGGGGAGATTGGCAGATTATGAAAAATATTAGACACGTATTTTTTTATTTTCTCTTATAAAGTTACAATGGTTAGATAAAATGGTGTTAAGTTTAGGAGTGGGAGGTCGTGACGATATTTTGAATTAATATAATTATCGTCGAGGGTATTTAATTTAGTGAGAAAATTAATACGTGTCTAATGTTTTAAATTACTCAATCAGACGGAAATTAAAATAAAATTTAGGAAACTGCCCTATTAGGAAATAAGTACCCCGAAAATCAAATATTCGAAGCGTATATGCTTTAAGTAAGACTCACATATTTTATTTATCCATAAATACAACTCTTTAAAGGGTCTAAGTAGACTTAGACCATTCTTCTTCATTTCAATTGCATAAATTTTCTAAATGTGATAAAAAGTCCTGAATAACTTTTTCTGCGTCAATCATTGAAATTCATTGTCCATGATGTACAATGACCATGGACATCATCATCATCATCACAGATAATGAATACATCTCATCCAAAATCGATTTAAATGTTAATGCAATAACAAATCGATATTGTCGTCATCATAATCGAATGAGGTTTGACCCTAGTGTTAATCTAGTGACTGCTATTAGAAATTCCTGGATGCTATAGGTCAGAGGAATATTAAAGACCTATTGCATTTGCAGTTTTTAAGTTACGTATAAAAACACTTTAAATGATTTTTTTTTTTGCAAATATGTTATTTTCAGCCATGATCGTCCCACTGCAGGTCAAAGGCCTCCGTGCCCTCCTTCCACTCCTCTCTATGTAAAGCTTTTTGCGGCCAATCCTTGTCATAGATGTCTAATTCCTAAAATATGTTTATACAAGGATATTAAGAAATGAGGAAAATTAGCTTCTATTAGCGGCTGCTCCCGTGTTATAAAATTTAGGTTATGTCACCTATGTGTGTACCCATTCCAGATCATATTATACCACGTTCCAAATTTCATCCCGATCGCCTCAGTCGTTTTGGCATAACGAACATACACACAAATTCACTCACAAACCTTTGTATTTATAATATTAATAAGATATTAGACTAATTTGAAGAAATCTTTATAATTTTGAACCATCTATAGGTAATTTAAAGCGTTAAGTATTGTTTTGGTTTGGTTAGAACTGACGTCGTGTGAGCAAAATCACGATGACGTAGGTATAGTGAGTGCCTACCTAAAGAATATTTTAATAGTACTTTTCAATCTTATTACGTGGGAATTATTTTTTCATGAGCAATGCTCCGTAATATAAATAGGTTCCTGAATAAGGCGTGATGTTGTGTTATGTTTATGAAAATGTAACTGCGTGTGTCCAATATTGAGCTAAAATTATGCACGGACCGAAAATTATGGACATAATCCGCTTATGATGTCATGATTATCGCTGAAGCTCCCAAATAATTTTATTATTAACCTAAATATTATTAAAATTGATATTTTAAAATCAAAAACAGATTTATGCATCCAGTAATATGCATGAAATGATAACGCATACAAGCAACGTCATAAGGATGAATAACACAAGACAAAGTCACGTCACGCCTATAAATCCTCAAAGGTAAAGAACCTAAAAAAGAAACAATAAAACGGAATTGAAGTGAGCAGAACATTCACTTTTTGTCATTTATCACATTCGTCACATTGTAGAGATGAAACCAAAAAGCGGGCAGATTTTTGATAACAAACACTAAAAAGCTCTGAAACTGAGCAATGATAAATGTTAAGTCCTCCATAGAAAATTTGAATAGCTATTCACCCAAAATGCAAGTGTTAAGGACCTAAATGCATAAACTAGGTATTATGTGGGTAATAAGAGGGGAAATCCGGCCGGGTCGCGGGTAGCTTGCCCCCAATCCGTTATCTCAGTCGGACATTGGCACCAAGCCAGCCAGGAATCTGCTGCCATTGTGTACACAGTAATTATTGTACGTTACACCACTAAACTACGTAAAATACAGACGAAAATAATAAAAACAAAGACCATTAAATAGACCAAGGAATATTTTAGTCAATAGGTCTCCGAGATACCAATAAATAAATTGTAAAAGTACGAAATCCTGTCTCATTGTCTGCGAAAGTTTGGCAAATTTTCAAAAGGACTTTCAGCAATATCAAATAGGTATAGTATTAGTAGATACTCTTTTAAATTTTACCACATAAGTATATACGTGTCTATAGTTTCAAACTGCAAATTGTTCGTTGGTATAAATGGAGGTATTAAATGATTTAAGCATAGATTGTAATGATTCTGACAAAGTAAATCTAGTAGATATAGTGTTGACAGGTTGAACGATTAGGCGGACAAGCGGGGCGCGTGAATGTACACGCCACGCCGCCTCCCAACTTGCCGACGAGGGCGTAAAGCAATTTGCGCATTACTCCAATCTGGCCCGATGCCAGCACCACTACGTGTCCCAACTTTTGACTATCCTACTATTTATTGCTAACGTTCTCTTCCAGCTCAGCTTTGCGGATAACGCAAACACGAATCCCTGGAATGCAATGTTTTCTTAATTTTGTCAGCGTCTTATTTGCATCTTAATAAGGTTTTAATACTTTCCAACACACTAACACTTTCCTGGCTGAATAATATATAAAAACAAATCTAAATCATTGCCATTTTGACGTTATGGATAAGTCGTCGTATCTATTTATGAGTAAAAGAAAAAAGCTAAAATTTTCATTCAGAGCAATGGATAAAAACTCAAGTACTGATAGCAATATATCCCTGGATAGCCTGGAAACTCAATTCAAACGAAAAAATTTCGTAAAAGGTAGAAAGACGGATGAAAATGTCGATACAATACTCGTGCCATTTTACGAAAAAGACGTGCTCATAAAGGTACCAAAGGATCAAAAACGAAAACAAAATAATTCAAGTAATAAATATAAAGCGAATGAGAAATTTAAGAATGAACTGTCGCAAACAAGCTATTTGGTAAATAAAGAAAGAGAAGCGAGGCTTAAGCGACCCACCTACCTAGAAATGTTCCGTAAGCAGTTTACACCCAATCATATTGGTAAAAAGAGAGATAAGAATGAAATACGTTCTTTATCACCAGAATTTGGTGATACGGAAAGGGAAAGTATTGGCGATGACGCTAATAATCCCATACCAGAGTTCTACAATACTGAGTCTTATAACGAAATGTATTACGAAAAGCTTTTGTGTCGTGATCTGCAGAACTATATAGACAATTCTTTTGAAGACCATGAAGAGGAACTGCGCTTTACTGAAGATATGGTAAGTAAACCAGATGATATACGTGATGATAGTCCTGATAATCTAAAGAGTGTTTCGGAGATCACAAATCCACGTCGTAATGTCAGACGAGCAACAATAGAGCCCATACCTAATGTAAAGCTGGGAGGTTTGGGGCCTGATTTAGAACAAATCAAGCCGAGGCTTGAAAGAGCAAGGAGTTTACAAAGATATTCAGAGAAAGTAAGAATGGAAAATCGATTAAAGATTTATAAAAAAACGTACCAAACCCAACCCGAGAAGAAAATTGAAAGAGAAACATCTGCCAAACACAAGGAGCCACGAAAGGAACCACCAAAGAAAGAACAAGAAGAGGTTACTCCCACTTATTTGGTTAACAAAACTATAAACGAAAAGGGTAACAAACTAAGCAAGAATCCATATTTGAAATCCAAATCGGCTGATGTCCAGAGAATAAGAGAGAGAAATGCAGAGAAGGAACAGAAGCAGTTGACTGTGAAGAAGAAAGAGATTGTGAATCCGAAACTTGAAACTAAACAAAAGGTGGAAACCAAACCCGATAAAAAGACACAGAATGAGGGTAAAGGTAAACAAGCGACAAAATCTAGCTCCAGGAACATGGGCATCAATACTGAGACTGCGTCAGACGTTGCACCGGTCCAAATAAGTTTCATGGTCAACGTTGGAGGTGTACGTCACTCAAACGCCTTGAAGTCTTTGGAGGAAAAGCATCGAATGTACCAGGAACAAGTGAAAGCCTTCATGGAAAATAATGACGGTTAATGTCCTTTCTATGTATTGTTGTGGTGGAAACAGCTTCTCTTTTCAATTTCATGTCTAACTGGAGTATTGTTGTATGTCAATTTTAAATAAATTTTAGCATTTGATTGATGTGGTTTGACTGTACAATGTAGAGGTAATATATAAAATTCTTGTGTCACAGTTTTCGTTGCCATACTCCTCCGAAACGGCTTGACCGATTTTGATTAAATTTTGAGTGCTTATTCGGTATCTATGAGAATCGGCCAACGTCTATTTTACATCCCCCTAAATGTTAGGGGTAGTCCACCCCTAAATTTTTTTTTACATACTAGGAAATTATTTATATGGCAAAAAAACGTTTGCCAGGTCAGCTAGTAATCTTAGAATTTTGGTTCCTTAACCATGTGATGAATTTTCCGCTTCTGCGTAATTATGTTAGGATACTACTTAATTTAAAAGAGATAGAGGTGAAAGATCAACAAGTGCTATATTTAGAGTATGTTGACTAAAGGTTAGATGTATAGGTATAACACAAACAACAGGTAAATCAACTCTTCTTACAAATTCCTGGTATGTAATTAAGTCAGGTGCTTTTACTTATTGACGCATAGAATAGACATGTTCACACATTTTGGAACTGAGATTAGATCATGTTGGTGAGATTGACGGCTTGAATGACGTGTGAGACAAGAGAAAGCAGATATGCACGAGACAAGCGCTGTGTTATCTCATACAATAATTATATCGATGAAAATATACAAAATCTCGAGCAAGTGCAGGTGCACTTGCTCGAGATTTTGTATATTTTCATTTTGTTTATATTGTTCGGAAGTTTATTGATGTGCAGATTGTATTGCTTAAATTAGGTTCTCAAAGTTGATTATTATTTGCATAGCATATTACTGTTTATAGTTTAGATTTCTTTGAGGATTCGTAAGTATAAGTGTTAATTTTAGTTTCAACATTTCATGTACTGTATATCGAGGGGTGAATAGATACTGAAATGGGGTGAATAAGTGTTATATAATATTTTTACCCCTCTTCTGTATCTATTCACCCCTCGAATTCTATTCTATAACCAAATAAAAAAAGAAATGTGTGTTAATAACAACCGTAACACATTATGTTAGAGTATTCATTCGAGTCTACTATTACTCATAGCTATGAATGTCCCATCTCAAGCTTTAATTACAAATTATATCATAATTGAGAGACCGGACGCGAAAATATGAACCATCGCTTCTAAATGATGCGTGAATGAATTCCGGTTTGTTAAAGTTGGCAGAGAAAGTCGCCTGCGCACTTTAGGGGGCTCGAAGCGACGAAGTTGAGCTTCTTATTACTTAAATTGTTATACCACGTGTGTTATTCAACTGTTTTGTTATTTTTTTTAAAGTATTTTTACCGACTGCCTCGTTGGCCGAGTGGTCGCAAGTGCGACTGTTCGGCAAGGGGTATCAGGTTCGATTCCCGGGACGGGCAAAGTATTACTAGGTTTTAAAAAAAAATCTCATTAGTAGCATGGAGTCTGGAATTGTGCCCGGTATATGGCAATAGGCTCACCCCCTATTACATGGGACTCATAAAATAAATAGTGGAAAGTGGGTGTTACATTGTACAGTGGCATAATGTGCACCTCTACCTACCCCTTCGGGGATAAAAGGCGTGATGTTATGTTTATGGTATTTTAACCGACTCTAATAAAGAAGGTTCACAGTTGACCTGTATGTATGTATGTATGTAGATATGTATGTATGTATGTGTGTATGTTTGTGCTCATTTATCTCGCGACTGGTTGAACCGATGTTGATGCGGCTTTTAGAAATGTGTTTGTTACACTTAGGAGAAGGTTTAAGTACCTATATATATATTAATCAATGGACTTCGAAAAAAGAGATTGTTTAACCCTTTGAGTACTGTCATTATAGACACAATTAAAGTACAATTTTTTTTATTTTTTTTTTAAATGGGAAAATCATCGAATGACTGCTCCCGCCTGGGTGAGGCGGGAGGGAGTGTCAGACTCTTACTGACTAAAAACCACCCCGTTCCTTCTCCTGCACATCGAGCCGGAGCTCCGGTTACCCGTTAGGTTCTCCGCGACAATTAAAAAACAATAGATTGCGGTCACCAGTGTCATCGCGGTGTTTGACAGTTTAAGTCGGTTTTTTAAACGTAATTTGTAAAATATGTGTGTGTCTGTATAAAGGTTGTACTTAGGGACGCTGTTTTTACACATAAAGGACATGAGCGTAAGTTTAAATTTCCGTATGTTTGTATTTCCACGTAGGTAGCAAGCACCTACTCAATATTGTAAGATTATTGAGTAAGTGCGTTGTTGAAATAATATTTTGAACAGGCTTGTTAATATACGCTAAAGTGGAAGTACGCATAAATGTGTTAATTAGAGTGGTGTTACTAAAGTGTCACATGCAGCGTAGCAGTAGCGGTATATGTTACTGGGAATAGCATCTACTAATCTACGTAGGAAAATGATTAATTTCGATCACAAACTCATAATTTCTTCCCATTTTCTCTACAAACTTAAATAAAGGAAAACTTTTGTATTTATTAAAGAAAATACAACCGGAAAAGATATGAACATTTCATTCAGTTCTTTCAGCGACAATACAGAACCATAATCTTGATTAAAAACCAAAGAAATCCCATTAACGGTAGAGTTTACCTTGCACCAGCACCTCGGCAGCTCGGACACAATCACTGGCATTACTGGCATTCGTTCTGCAATCCTTTTACTACCCTCAGATTAAACTCAATATCTGGGTCAAAATACACTGGTCGCAGGCAACTTTTACCGTCCTTGGGACTCTTTGATACATTTCAGATCGTTTAAAATTAACCCAATTATACTCCACATATGCACAAACCCGTTCTAGGTCATTATCATTGAATTAAATGTTTATCTTAAAATTTTACGATTATTACAAATGCAATTAGTATTTGCAGCATTAATTATTCTGAGTCACAACAATATCTAAATCAATCTGTTAAATACTTTGCGTAGTTGCAAGCTCGGAGTTTGAATCACGAAACATGGGCTACTTAGGCTGTATGCACACAATATGGACATGTTACGAAATGTCAGTTAAACAGACTATAAAGTCGAGAAACAATGAACATGAAATTCCGTATCAGATGACAGTGTCTTCGTGTGTTCCACGGTCAGACAGTATGGCCGCGGATGTGTGTAACGTCCCTTATGCAATGTAACGCTCTGTCGATACGGTTTTTGAGTTCTCCATTGTACAGAGAAAGTGGAGCATGTAAATAATGGAAAATTATGTTAATGGTTTATATATATTAATAGTTTAATGTAAATAGTAGCCGTTGCGTTATGCAAACATCGTCATAATGCTTAGCTTTTAATTATCCATACACGGTCCGTTGACAATACAGCCTATTATATTCAAACCAAATATTTATATTTTATCCCACTTATATGAGAATATTAGTCTTTATGACAAATTAATTAAAATAATTCTTTATGAGGAAAAATCTTAATTAAAATTATGAATAAAAAAACTATATTATTTTTGATTAACTATGGTTGAGTGAGAGACGAGACGTTTATAAAAAAATTGAACATGTGATTATCAATATCGCTTATACACCTATACGGAAAGTAAATAAATCAGAAAAAATACTAAAACGAGTGTTTACAAGCATTTAAGAAGAAATTATATAAAGGAAAAAGAAATGAAATCTGACGGACTGTTAAAAGGACGGACAGGTAAAAGTGCGAGCGTCTAGCGTCTATACTAACGTAGACCTACACAACGTTACTTCTAGACTAGATATATCCATCTAGGTTTCCCGCGGAAATTGAGGCGAGACTGCTGCAAGGCGGGAAATAGATCGATTTAGTTCATACGAGTACTTCATCGCAGCCAAAGTACAGTCGACCAAGGTAATTAGTATGCAGGTAAAAAATAATTTCAGATTGAAATGATTTCAGATTGAATACAGACACAGTAGGCATTGTTTGGATACTGTGCCGACCAATGGTTACAAAAGATATGGCTTCGTTACAAAGTATACGCTTTAGTACTACAATAACAACTGTCTCTGTACATTAGTACAGTACTCTGTACTTTAGTTTCGAAGTAGATTTATTTTCAATTTTATTTTCTTACTTAACAAAACAACACGCCTTTTATGCCCGAAGGGGTAGGCAGAAGTGCACATTACGGCACTGTACAATGTAACACCCAATTTTCACTATTTATGTTATGAGTTCCATGTAATAGGGATGCCTATTGCCATATACCACAATTCCAGACTCCGTGCTACGACTGAGATTTTTTTAAAACAGCCAGTAATACTTTGCCCGACCCGGGAATCGAACCCGATAACCCTTGCCCGGCAATCGCACTTGCGACCACTTGGCCAAGGAGGCAGTACTTTCTTGCTTGTATACCAAATAATTCGGCTGACTGTACATGTGATCTGTAATTACTTTGTGGTTTGCTTTAACCAGTTCTTAGTCTAATTGGGATAACATTGCGTTAGTATGACATCGTACGTAATCGTAGTTGTGACATTAAATAAATAAATAAATATTATCTATGTACATACATGAGCAATGTGCATTGATGAAATTTAATTCGAGTGTGTAATGTTTATGGTTGACAAAGAACTGCTAGGTGACCCTTTTGAATGGAATTTTTTTTGGAGTCATTTCGAATTGAACATGGAATTTGAATTTGAACCAATGATGTTTTTTTTTAATTCTCAACGACTGCACGAA